ACAAAAAAAGTCAAAAGTGGATATTTCCTTGATTGGCTTCTTTTTTCATTTATTATAAGGGAAACATATTTCATGTCATTTTTTCTCAAAAGATGTTGACAGATGTTCTCATGTTCTAGTTGTTCTTTATTGAGATACAATGAAATATATGAAGTTCATATATTTTGTGCTGCGGTATTAGATACGTATGATACACGATCCTCGCAGTAGATAGCGCTATTTAAGCAATAGCGAAAATCAGACCTGAAAAAAATCAGGCCTGTACGGGACTTGAACCACTAATCTCTGCGATACTAGTGCAGCGCTCTACCAATTGAGCTAACAAGCCAACTGCGAGCAGGCCGTTAAGTTGATTCGTAATAAACCCGTGAAAGTGATAAATGAGATACAATGAAATATATGAAGTTCATATATATATGAACAAAATATATTTTTTGCTCCCAGTTGGCTTGTTAGCTCAATTGGTAGAGCGCTGCACTAGTATCGCAGAGATTAGTGGTTCAAGTCCCGTACAGGCCTGATTTTTTTCAGGTCTGATTTTCGCTATTGCTTAAATAGCGCTATCTACTGCGAGGATCGTGTATCATACGTATCTAATACCGCAGCACAAAATATATGAACTTCATATATTTCATTGTATCTCAATAAAGAACAACTAGAACATGAGAACATCTGTCAACATCTTTTGAGAAAAAATGACATGAAATATGTTTCCCTTATAATAAATGAAAAAAGAAGCCAATCAAGGAAATATCCACTTTTGACTTTTTTTTGTGGGGGGGGGGAGGGGAAACTCCTCACAGGAGTGAAATAATTATAAAATAAAACAAAACAAAGCAACAGAAAACAGAAACAAAAAAAAGGAAAACAGGTACAAAAAAAAATAGCAACGTCACCGGAAGAAGAAAGATAATATCCAAATGCAAGCTATTTCTTTTGTCACAACTATTATTATTTTCATCATCATTACCATTATGATTATCATTGCTATTATTATTGCTATTACTTTTATTACTATTACTATTTCATCATCATTGCTATAATATTACTATTGATATTATTACTGGCTAGCATTAGCAACATTATCACTGGCACAGCTACAGGCTAATGGCTTATCATATGTTAAAAGCTGGTATTTAATCCAACAGACAGAAATCCAGGAGTTGTTCAGGCTGCCATTAAAACAGAAGCTTTTCACCTTTTAAACCTCCAAGTACCTTAACATTACTTAGCAAAGCACATCAACTGCTTAGAATAGCATTCTGTTATTCATCTAATCAGATTTACAAAATCAAGATGGAAAACTCCATGATGTTTGAGCTGTTACGGCTGGGCCTTAAATTTAAAAATTCATGACAAAAATGATCATTTGGTTCTACCCAATTATCTCCTTTGTTAAATAACCATTTCACTCACAGATGTATCAGCTTGGAAAGGCTGTTAAAAAGTCTGTCTGGTAGAATCTTCAATTTGTTATTTGATAGATAGCTGTTAGGAATGATGAGAGAAAAAATGCCTTTTCATTTAGACTGTAGCTCATAATTTATGAGCAAAAATACAAACAGATGCTGGTCACCAAAAATTATAAAAAAGTTAATTGTGGTCAAATCTGGGAAATATGCTTATTTTAGACAAATGAATGTTTTATCGTTGGTCGCATAATTTGTAAAACGGTTTAACGTTTATTTATCTATAAAACCGCGATGAACAGCACCATTTTGTTTATTGCTTATCATGGTTAATGTCGAGTACATACAACTTGCGCATTCATTTTGGTAAGGTCAGTATTTCCAGCAAAAGGAGAAACTCGTTGCTGACAATTTTACATTTGCTAGCACGGCCAACTCTCTTCTCCTATGTTTGGAGAGGTAGACTGTTTCCCTTTTCATTTGAAATCATTCCTTGGGTAGAAATAATTAGAGAAATTATCGAGCTCTTAATCTCAGAAGATATCAAAATAGGTAAAAAAAGGTAAAAATATCCCATAATGACTAGAATATTTGTGTCACGCATGATTTCATCCTTGAATGATCTGTACTGCAGATCTTACACTCTGATCATTAGAAAAACAAAGATCAAGATTTGAGATGTGTATATTGGTAGGTTACGTTTTTGGTGCTTATTGGAAAATAATTGATTAGGAAATATTGCAAGTGGCTGATATTTCTTTCAGTCTTTAATACATGTTTGGAACAGTGGCAAAGAGTTGGACAGTCAGTCAGCTAATTTCTGAGGAAAGGATATGCAGATAAACTTACAGTTCCTGCAGATTTTTTAGATCTTGAAATAGTTCAGGAGGTAATTCAGTGATGTTGTTGTCTTGCAACCATCTATGTCGAAGTAGAGAAACACGAGTTGTTGTATCACATCCAGCTATTTTTATCGAAGTAGCTTCTAACTGACTTGTCTTTTGTCATTGAAGGGAAAGAGAGATTAAAAAAAATGGAAAAAAAAAGATGGGCAAAATTAAGGACGAACGCGTGGTTGGGAAATGGAATGCTCCTACTTTATAAAACATGTTTTTTTAAAACTGAGCTGCATCACTTAATTCACAACTTAACAAATAACCTCAAATTATGCAAAGCAATACTGTCGTGTCTTTTTCCGTGTTTTTCGTAAAGTTTAAGTTATAAGTTATTTTCTTTGTGTAATGAATTTAATTGGTAACTTTCTTTTTATCAGATTAAAAATGTGATTTTTTATTGATCTGTTTTCGTTGCACTTCACAGCACAAGTCATAATGCAGATCTTGAAACACTTTGATCTAGCAAAGGGAAATGATAAACTGATACGATACAAAATCCTGTTTTGAGGTCAAGGAGTGTTTTGTCTAATAGAATCCGATATTTACTCACAGTTCTTTTAACCCTTCCATGCGTTTGAAGGCACTTCCACTCATTCCTTTCAGGTTGTTATCATTCAGGCGTCTGCATTATTTACCATGCAAAACTGATTATTAGTTCGTCTGTCTGGTTAGGGGATTCCTGTCGGTGTTAAGTGCCCCTGAGACCAAAATTCTCGTTCATCATTTTTTTCCATTTTCGTGTTCAGTGTGTCTCCTTCACCTACTTTGCCAAATTTCAGTTTAGACCGAGCACTAGAAATACCTTTTTTCGGGCCGTTAAATTCGCAATCTCCATATCAAACTCACGGGGTACAAATAGTCTCTTACTGAATTTCGTGACCACGCCCACTTCATCGGCCCACTCAAATCGAGTGTCATTTTTGGATGTTATATCATCTTGCCGACTCTCTGCATAAAATGTTAACAATGTACCACCGAAATATTGAACTCTAATATCATGGCTTTCCATTTTGTGTATTTTCGTACCACATAGTAAAGTTTTTCCCTCGTCATTTTCACCTTTTCCCGAGCGGGTCCGTCGAAATCAAGAAGGCGTTCGTGGTCAAAACAAGACCGAGCAAAGAGTCTTAGGCGATTTTTCTCTTACGCAAGCGCAAATTGAAAATGTATCGCGAAAATCAAAGAGAGGAACAAATTTCCTTTGTTTTGATATGTAAATTGTCGAACAAGGAACAGATTGAACCTCGTCAGATGGCTAGTCAAAACAGCCACACCTTCCTCCTTTTGCTCGTTTCCTGTTTTATAAGCGTGAAAGCAGTGAGAAAAGAATCGGGTAGCTCGGAAAGCGCTTCGGGTATTAATTTACTACTGTTTAGTTACGAGATAAACAAGTGAGATTTGTAAAGTTATTTTCCAAAAGAGTCGGAATAAATACATTTTTTTTCAGGTTAGACTGCTGTTTTTACCCTAAACGTCGTCCAATAAATGTTTGTTGCAGCCTACTAATCTATACAATTTCTAAGTAAAATATTCAGATGCTTCACCGTCCCCGAAGGGTCTCCATTCATCGAAGCGTGTACTGTAGCCAATGTAGTGAATTTTTAGGCTCCGTGACTTCAACATCATACAATTTTTTATCTTTTCTCTGTGAAATGACCTTTTTAACAGGGGTGTATGCTGAGTATTTGTTGCAGAATCGCGTTGGTTTTCTTATCTCTCTCTTTGGCTAGTCCGCCATTTTGAAAATTTGCTCAGGAGGGAATCTGGGTTAGCGGCCGCGCCAGGCTGGAACCGACAAAAACAAATGTCCATCGCAGTGAGGAAACAGTTTGATATGCGTCCGCCATTATTTTATCATGTTCCGGAAGTTGATCGCAGGACTCAGAGGAAGTGACGTCAAAGGCTCAACGCGAAAATCTCACATGGCAAAATGTCAAGCAAACATAACAGAGTGCTTTACTCTATTCTTACAAAAACTAAACAAAAATGACTGGGCGTCGATGCGTAATTCAAAGCTGAAGTACTCGTGCAGACCATGCTGCAGGT